GCGTGGGTGTTGTGGGAGGCGTGGGTGATGTGGGAGGCGTGGGTGATGTGGGAGAAGTGGGAGGCGTCGGTGATGTGGGTAGCATGGGTGATGTGGGAGGCGTCGGTGATGTGGGTAGCATGGGTGATGTGGGTGGCATGGGTGTTGTGGGAGAAGTGGGTGATGCGGGACATGCGCTAAAGAATTACAATAATTTTTCTTCTCACCACAAACGCCGTAAATTTGTCATGCATTTGAGCTAGGCAGACGACATAATTACCATGCTATCCCATGTCGGAACAAGACTCAGCTTCACCTAATGTATCAGGCTGAGTGTACGGCCAGGTCATTAGTCCCATAGGAACGATCTGCTCTGTGCGGTACAGTCACTGCAATCTGACTTGTATCAGCTAAGCTATGAACTACGAAAATAGTCTCAATTGGAAATATATTGAAATTTTAAAGAAAATCTAAGGAAAATTGGGAGCTTTACTGCATGGAGCATTTTCCAGCTCGAAGAATCCGTTGTTAAAAAAAGCTTTAGAAATTTGTAAAACTTTTGGGACTTGATCAAATTTTGTGTCAGAAACTTATATAGAATGCAAAAGTATCAAATATTAATATTATAACAATACAGACCATGTATAAATGGCCAAATCTCCTCACATTAATTTATTTTTCATAACAAATTTGTTAGTGGTGCGGTAAAGACAAGACGTATCCAGAGTATGGAGTGTACCGTGTAAAGCATGGTCAATGAGGCGGTCCTAATGCGAGCGAAAGCACCTGTGGAGGTGTGAAAATCGCGCCAAGAACAATGCGGGATGATGACGGAGAGTGGCAGCTCTCAGATGCCTGTGGTGTCCTGATCCACAGGTGCACCAGTTCAAAACTACCTCATCCGGAACGAGAAGAAAATAAATATATCCTTGAATGCCGCAGAACGTGAGGGACTTTGAGAAGCTGGGCTTTTGCCAGGCTAAAAAATCGAGTGCCTCTCAGAGAAAAGCAGCATTATGCTCGTGATTCGAGGAGCCTTCTTATGAAGACCGCATTCGAATACTTAGTGTAACTCCAACGGCTCTTAAGCTGCATTTCCTTTTATTTATTTTATTCCTTTCTATCTCCCCATATTTTCTGGCATTTTCCCTTCAATTATGCTCCCTTTGCTGAACAAAGCAGCGCCTTAATACCTAGGGAAGCAAATATCCAATCAATTATATATGCCACTTCCAACAAACTACAGTGCAGCTTTCACTGCTTGACGATGGCTACCATTCCTCGATATATCAGTACACTTCAAAGTGTCTAAAGCCTAGCCTCTCGTACTCCAAGTAGTCAGCTGAATATACAAAACTACAATTCCAACTATCTACCATGCCCTACACATAGTAAACATCGAATAATAATAGACTAGATAATAATACTAGACTAGTCGCTCATAAATATACCCGTCTAAATTTCATTAAATTAAGTTAAGTGACTCAATTTTATTCGTTATGGCCAGCACAATTAAGACACTCCAGTTTACTCCACTCTAACTTAAACTAAATTTGCCGAATTTGCGATGTAATGTCATTTAGTATATAATAAATGTCCAGCATTACACCAGCTGGAGACAAATGACTGAACTGTTATTTTCATGCAGGTCCCAAGTTGAACACGAGAAATTTTTGAGTGTCTTTACAATCCCAAAACCAGATTCAACATCCAGCCATGTCCTGAACGCTATCAGATGTGGGTCAAGCTCGACTAAAAGTAATTTATTAATTAGTTTGCTACAATTTAGCTTGGATTAGAGAGCAAAGAAAAACCTCCAAAAATTCATATATCCTCATTGAAACAATAAAGGAGAGTATCTTCATTATCACGCGAATCATCAGTAATATAAAAAAATTTCGCATGTTATGAAAAATTACTTAGTATTTAAAGTTTTGATGTTTCAAAAATGATTCTAGGCTACGATAAGAACGTGGCCTATAGACATTAGGGACTACAAATAGCAAAATTTGTATTCTTATAGCAAATCTTTCAAGAAAACAATTCGAAATATTTTCAAGTCTGATTTAAAAACGGGAACACAAAAATCGAGACAAGAGTGAGAGAACTTGATGTGGGTCTGAAGAGCATTTAATATAAATAAATAATCCAGATCACAGTGCTAAATTTCATTAGGAATACCAGGAGTGGTATTTTTTTTTTTGCGGTGGGTCTGTCTGGTAGTTTACGATGCTTCAGTCAAGACTGGCATGCTAGAAAATAGCAAAAGCATCCAACATAGGATATGCTTAATTGGGTGATTTGAGCATCATTGTCTGATGCTTTAACCGATTTATTTTTAGGTGCATTCCTTTTACAGAATAATTCCTTAGAGAGAAGCTTGTTTTGCTGGGAAAAGGTCTCCAAAACTATTTTCATGAAGACATTGTTAAATTGGTTTCTGGTCTCTTATGTGCTTCTTGATCATTAAATATCTGGTTCTCAAGTTGTAAATTTGGAAATCGGGGAGTCCATTTCAGAGAAAGTGATTTTCAAATTTCATGAATCATAATTTCCTATATGGCTTAATGCCGACACATCATCAACGCAATTTGTCAGTATTAATAAATGGCTAGTGGCTTGAAATATCTTAAATATTTTCGTCTGAAATGTACCCAACACCCATAATGGCGATCTGCACGTACGAGTCCCAGCCGCCTAGCCAGAGAGCGCCGCTCTTGTGGAGCAGAGGGACAATGGCCGGGACAGCAAAGTTGGTTTAGGCGTTATGTCCGTAACAAAAGCCATTTAGAACATTAGCCAGGTGCAGGAGGCTTGTCTGTTGGTTTTAGAGCTACGTTCGACGGCCATTAGACACCCTATCCGTTTTGCTGGTCGTCCCTATCCGTTTTGCTGGTCCATTTATCGGGTGTCCGGAAAGACGTTTCCATAGCTGGCGTCGCGGAGGCGTGCCTTGTCATCAAGTCCATCGTTCATAGAACTGACTTCCAAGTACCAACGAGCTTTGTTGGTTTCACCAAACTAGCCATCAACGGCAAAATACTCACATTGAGGCTTGAGGTCAACGAGTTTCTAATTTTGTTTGAACGTGATGCGGTTTCTACACTTCTTTAAGATTTTTCTTCTTCGCTGTTGAGAAATATTTGGAGCGGAAGTTGTTACTGAACAACTTTGGAGTTCCAGTTATGTACAAACAAGATTTAATTGAATTTTTAGTTCTTTAAAAATAACAAACCCAGCGATTCCCGAATAATATAATCTGAGAGATTTGAAAATTGTATTACCTATTTGACTTTTTTGTCATAATTATAATTCTCGAACTTGCCCGAAGAGATGCCCGAAAAATCCTTTATTTAAGAGATCACCTGCATTTATCAAACGTTGTAAAGTTTGAAGTGCCTTTTAACCTTTCAATTCATTAATATAGAAAGTATTTATTTCTATTCTGCTCGTAAATTAAATCCAGCTTACAATCATCACGCCTAACACCCGTTTTACATTGCCTAATGATTCCTTAACTAAACATAAAATATCGGTGCAGATCATATCCCGACCAGAGCGATATTGTGCATCCACTCACGAATAACCTTTTTTATCCAGCCAACTTTAAAAATACGAAAAAACACATCTACTCTTTGACGAATAATTGATTAAAATAACGCTGAAATGTTTTTATTTTTATGCGTGCAATTAAATATGTTTATGCCCGCAGTTTATTACGTTACATCCAATACAATGATAAAGTTGAGACGACAGGAAATGTCTACCACAAGTATAATAAGCGAGCCATTGGCACACCAACACATGACACGCCAGCCTTGCACCATCAGTATCTTCACAAATGAGCGCATCCGTTTCCTGTTTACAGCATCACAGCTTCTCCTTCAAACCCTTGTAAGTCGCTGGCTTTGGCACAGTGCGCCGCGTCTCTTTTAAACAGTAACTGTATAGTAATTGTCAGGCACAGTGCACCGTGCATCAAATTATAGGGTAATTGTGCTGCAATTGACAGGAGCAGTGCACCGTGCATCAAATTATAGGGTAATTGTGCTGCAATTGACAGGCACAGTGCGCCGTGCATCAAATTATAGGGTAATTGTGCTGCAATTGACAGGCGCAGTTCGCCGTGCATCAAATTATAGGGTAATTGTGCTGCAATTGGCAGGCGCAGTTCGCCGTGCATCAAATTATAGGGTAATTGTGCTGCAATTGACAGGCACAATTCGTCGTGCATCAAATTATAGGGTAATTGTGCTGCAATTGACAGGCACAGTGCATCGTTCATCAAATTATAGGGTAATTGTGCTGCAATTGACAGGCGCAGTGCATCGTTCATCAAATTATAGGGTAATTGTGCTGCAATTGACAGGCACAGTTCGCCGTGCATCAAATTATAGGGTAATTGTGCTGCAGTTGTCAGACGTATGACGTGCCCCGCATCAGTTACAGAGGTGCTTTGTTCGAGTCTCAAACCGTAACTTAGCACAGCTGACGTTTAAAAGAATCTTTAATGTATAAAATATATTTTAAATGTCTAACACTTGCTCTGTTGGACAGATGTTGTAATGTCGTATTCACAATTCATTTGGACAGCTCAATGTGTGCATTCATTAATTGAAACGCATCAAGCAATCTTAAACATTATAATAAACAGCAAAAGAAGTCTTAAAATATCAATAATATTAGAATTTTATATTATTTTATTCGTTAACTATGTAAGGACATCGTCGTTAACAACGTGACCCCAATACCATTAACGTCTCCCCTCCCCCCTCCAGCAGTACGATGCTTGGTGCTGTTAAGACCAACACAAAACGCCAAGCTGCATCGCGCGAACATCCGCCTAGAATTAAATAATAAAATATATCTCTGAGATCGCGGTATATTTTACCGATAAATGCTAATCTCGTCTAATTGATTTGTTCACTGTTAAATAGTGTATACGAAGTTTGATGGCTCTATACAATATACAAGTCCTTTTCATTCGTTATGTCTGATATTATATTTTATTTACATTTTCAGATTTCATTGGGAACATCATATAGACTAAATTTAAACTTAAATGATGGATAAAATTTTGCTTGTCGTCTTGACAATCTTGCTGCAAATTTGCGGCAGTACGTCGACAACGACATCTCCTGCTGCAGAGATGCAAAGGTGCAACAGCTCCGATATAACGGAGGTCAACGCTCTGGCCACCGTCCACCTGTCCGTCGACTTCTGGAGTTGCGAACAGAAACTTTTGACGGTCAGGAACGGCAGCGTGACGACGCTCATCGACGCCATGCACGAGTCTCCTGCGTTTGTAGCGACAACAAAACCCGGCTTCGATTATCTCGAAGTCTTGTTTCGTCGAGGCTCACGTAGCAACGTATTCTCGACTATGAATATAAGTAATGTACCGAGTAATGCTTACATTGTGAGGTTCAGTATCAAGCCAGAGCCTCCTCACTCGATGACACCACGCCTGGTGTTGCGGGTGGGCCTGCTGCCTCTGACTCGCTTGAACACACGTGGCAACAGTGACATACACCAAGAGCTGGAAGATGAGTTTTGGGACTCCAATCCTTATGTGAATGAGTACTCCTGCTCCGGGCCAGCTGAACCTGAGAACCTCGAACTTAATGAAGTCATCATTCGCGTTCTGGGAGCTTCTGAATGGCAGTATATTCCTGGGAATGATATATGTCCTGAAGTCAACTTTGATGAACCTCGAATAAACCCATCAACAAACTTTCCAATGCGGGCAGGCCAAGATGGTATCAGAAGTACAACCACTTCATCGAGATTGCCAAGTGAATCCAATCCTATTTGGTCAAATAGAAATTATGACGAGGGTTTCGGTGGAACCAGAGGTCCTCGCTTGGAGGACTCACCCACAAGACATCACACCAAAAAGATTTCTTACACGACAGAAGAAACGTATCACGACTCAGTCAAAGATGGAGGAACACACGCCAAAACGGCCGGGCAAATGCGATTGTCTGTCACTCTCATCTCAGCCATCATCGGTGCCCTGGCTATCATTCTCCTCATCATCGGTTGTTGCTGCCTCTTCAAGCGACTCAGTGAGTGTCTGGTTTACTGATCAGGTGACAACGATTTTGCAAGAAGATAGCCAGTATTTAGTTTGGAGCGAAACAATTCTGATTGCAAAAATTTAGTAACATTTTTAAATGTGTCATAGAGGGCTTTCAATTCAGAGCACGCATTCGTAAATGTTTCTCAGATCATTTAATCTTGATCGAATGAAGTTGGATTAGATTTTTAAAACGGTAATGATTTAAAGTTATTCACTGGATTAAATTTTTATGCATATTACAGATTTGACGGGCAGCTACGGCATTCACAGCAACTCCTACCAGCCGGAAAGCAGCCTCCACCTTCGGGACAGCCACATCAACACTGCGACTGGAAGTCGACCTTCCATCAAACATCAAGAGCCAGAACCTCATCCACATCAAGGGCCCCCAACCATCACCATCAACGATCAGAAGGCAGAAGATGCAGGTTATCGCCACCCACTTGGACAAGTAAATACTGGCATGGATTTCTCGCAGGAATCTTCTGCCGGAGATTGTGGTGTTGCTTCCAAAGATCCCTGAAACATCCCAAAAACTTAAAACATTTTCTCACTAGCTGGAACGGATGCCTAATATGATAGATATACTCGAGTAGTAAATTAAAAATTGCGCTATGTTTTAGACCATAGAATACCTGAACTAGGTATTCTCTAAACACTATACTCTTTTAGAATAACTATCGAATTCAGACTAAATTTTAAACTTGAATCGTGGCATCTGACCTAAACCGCGCTCAAAAGATGGCTCGTGAATGAGAGGTTTTGGTGCGTGAGTGGGCGCCCTGAGCTAGTCTGTTGGATTGATTGGGAAGAGATGCATGATTCGTGATTGGCAGATTGGGTTTCAAGAGTCTTTTGAATAAGTTTTTGGATCCACGAGTGGGGCAGTTTTCCAACTGCCCCACTCGTGGGGCAGATCCCCTGGGCAGTTGTCCCAAGGAATGCGGTAGTTGGTTCTTTAGTAAGGCAGATATCTCGAGTGTCTTGCAGTTTACTTCGTAAGGGGGGCAGATACCTTGACTGTGACAGTTAACCACATGAGTGGGACAGTTAGTCTTGAGTGGGAAAGATGTCTCTTGAGTGGGCAGTTAACCGCTTGAGTGGGACAGTTAGTCTTGAGTGGGAAAAATATCTCTTGAGTGGGCAGTTAACCGCATGAGTGGGCAGTTAATCGCATGAGTGGGCAGTCGAGCCCATGAGTGGGACAGTTGACGTCAAGAGTAGGATGGATGTCTTTCGAGTGAGGCATATGACCCATGAGAGGGTCAGTTCGGCTTGAGTGGGGCAGATGTCTCCTGAGTGGGCCGTTACCTCCCCTGAGTGGGCCAGTTTGGGTTGACCAGTTAGTTAAGTGGTCGGTTCACGTGACCTGACCTCTTAATGTGGCGCGTATCCTTGCCTCTATTGGGCATGCAAACACGCACACGACATGTACCACGTAAACGCGCACACGACGCGTATCACGTAAACACGCACACGACGCTCACCACGTAAACGCACACGACACGTACCATGTAAACACGCACACGACACGTACCATGTAAACACGCACACGACACGTACCGCGTAAACACGCACAAGGCATGTACCACGTAAACACGCACATGACACGTACCACGTAAACACGCACAAGGCATGTACCACGTAAACGCGCACACGACATGTACCACGTAAACACGCACACGACACGTACCGCGTTAACACGCACACGACACGTACCGCGTAAACACGCACTACGCACACGACACGCCCCACGCAAGCGCGCACACGACACGTACACGTGTATGGCAGCCGAAATGCGGCTTAATTAAACATAGTATATCCTCGCTGACATTTTTTTGTGTCAATTTTTTGTATGAAGTTCCTCGAAAGGTCGTTTATATTAGGATCACCTCATAATTCCAATATATGTCGTGAGATCAAAAATAATAATAATAAGTTTTTCGACGTACTCATAAGGTTTCCGATGATTTCTATTCCACTTGAGTTTTAACTCGATCATAATTTCTATAATGATCGGAATAGTATGATAATCAAAAAAATTTCAATGATCGTAAGTTGTACGATAATTATAATAATCTACGTTACACAATAGTTATAAACTATTTGAAGGTCATAGCTTAGGCCATGTCCATGTCCATAGCTTTGGCCATGTTACGGGATGGTTTTTTGATGATCATAAGTTATTTGATGATCGTAGGTTATTTGATGATCATAAGTTATTTGATGATCATAAGTTCTTTAATGATCGTAAGTTCTTTGATGATAGTAAGTTATTTGATGATCATAAGTTCTTTAATGATCGTAAGTTCTTTGATGATAGTAAGTTATTTGATGATCATAAGTTATTTGATGATCGTAAGTTCTTTGATGATCGTAAGTTCTTTGATGATCGTAAGTTATTTGATGATAGTAAGTTATTTGATGATCGCAAGTTATTTGATGATAGTAAGTTTCTTCAGTGCGGACACTTCTATTCTATTCTATTCTAAGTTATTTAATGATCTTAAGTTCCTTAATGATCGTAAGTTGCGCTATACGATTGTCAATGAGAACTAAATTATTAATCCTCCTCTCTGAGTTGAGTACTTCACTTTTGTTAATTTTGCACTGCCTAATGTTATTATTATTTTCAGAAATTATTTCTTTTAACTAAAACTTTAATTTGAATGTGAGCACATTTGTATGCGGCACATCGAGCTTCTCAAATGAACTAAACTAATAATTTTACGTGTAAAGTTAGCAAGTCGCGTAAAAGAATATTAAATAAGCTGTAAACATTTATACTGAGAAGTTTCTACCCGAAGGAATGTCATAATTTATCGTGCCATAAACCATAACCAATCGAGCAGCCAATACCAAATTTCAAAAAGAAAGACATCCTAGGATACGCTTTGAAATGGAGAAACAAAATGTTGTGAAATTTCGTTTTGTTTCAACGGTAATTGTCGATTGTGTGATATATCAATCAGAAAATATTCCACATCACGTGAGTTAGTGAATTAAATTTAAATATGTTCTTCGATATTCCTTTTGCGCACTGAACACTATCTTGGGGAAATTGATTTATTAATAATAATATTGTGATAAACACATTGTTTGCAAATTCAACACTAGAATTAGAATACTGAATGCAAATCGCTACATGGATAAGAGGTTGAACAAAAAAATATCAACAGCTCTGTAGTAGTGAGCACCAATGGTAAACAAACATTTAAAGAAAAAAAAATAAAACAAACTAATCCCTGTACCTGCTCCGTGGTCCAGCCTGAACGCCGCTAATCGTTTTCACGCCTCCAAGAAAGTCTTCGCTCACGACATCATCTCCGCACCTACGACCGATGTGGTTACCTGCATTTCCACTATTCAACGAATTCGCTATAACAAAGCAGAGGCGACAAAGTCAAGTTCCTTTGAAGATTCAAAACAACAGCAAGCTAGGTTTGAAAATTAGACACAGTTGGAATAATCCATAGGTAAATTATATACGGTTTATATATAAGGCCAACGTCAGAGCAAGTCTGATGTATGTTTAATTTTGTTCGAGTAGACAAATGCGGTGTGAGGTCACACCTGTCGTATTATGTTCTTAACAAGGCACGCTACCTACACGCTGACTGATGATGGCCGATTAGTTTCGCCTGGATCTATCGGAAAGGAAGTGTGGCAGATTTCGTTCATTTCTAAACACAAGACTTCGTAATGATGTTAAAGACTTTCCATTTCATGATAATACTTTTCATTTCATTATTAACGAGGTTTTTCATTAATCAGAAGTTTCGTGGGTTGTATACTTGGTATAGTTGGATTCAAGTTTTACTGGTTCCAAGATTGTTTAGGGGACACAATTGAGGAAAAACTGCAAGAGTTTGCTTGCAAAAATTGAAGCATCTCAGAATTTCCTTTTACTCTTCCCTTCCAGAGTTACTTTACCATGCTACTCTTTTTTGAAAAACATTACTTTAGAGTAACTCTATACTCTCGAAATAGAGTAATTGAAGCACTTTTTCATTTCTCTCTCTGCTCTCAGTACGTTATATTACCTTTCCAAAACTAACTCTTCCCAGCGTTACTTTGTTTTTACATCCACAACTCTCCAGCATTAATTACGTCTTCATTACTCTCTCCTCTCTGCGTAACTTTTCCATTACCTCTCTTCAACCTCCATCAATTTTCCTGGACTCCTTCACTAGAATTAAGACTAGAATATTTCTGAGAGAAATAATATGCGTAGCATCTATCATGAAAATTTTCGAAAGTAAATTTATTTTTCATTTATCTCCAAAACTTGACATATTGTATGAAAAACAATTTAAATGAGGATAAGTTGACATAATTTTTCAATTATTCTTTGAATAACTGATAAATGCAATCAAACATATCTTCTTGAAAATATGAAAGAGAGAGAAAAAAATGCGTTGAAAAATGTATCAAAAAGAAGAATTTGCTATTATTAAACAAAAAGTTTGAGTGGAGAGGATAATCATCATTCATCAATTCAGTACATTTTCAATCAGGGACTGTAAAAATGAAGATATTTTACATGCTTTGCCTGGTACGTTTTTCATTTTAACGAGAAAAAGCACATTGTTTTGAATGAACTGTTTAAAGTACAAGAACTTTTGTTAATTTTGTTCTTTTATGCCCATGAATTCCATAAGAATTTTCCGGTTAAAGTCTAATCTACTTACAACAATCGCGACATTTACTTGTCGCAGGTTATTAATGATCTTAAGAAGACGCGAAGAAACATCAGAAATGTTTACCGAATTCTAGATACGCAGGAAAGAAAATACGAGCGTTGGAGCGGAAAACGCCTTCCAGCTTAAATAGGACCTTAGTTTGTGCGCTGAGGTCCAGAGTGTGGTATATTTCTCGCATTGATATGACCGGTCATTGTTTATAAGGCTTGAACTTTTTACACTTTTATACACAGTCTAGAAATAATAAATGGTTTGAACGTGTGAAACCATTACTGAAGGTGTGAAAGCAGTTCCCGGGCCTCCGTGTCCATTATCAAGCTATATTGAGTGCACGATTTTTTTTTTTTGTATATCTCTTAAAGTTATATTTACACATAGAATTTAGATCACTCGGATGCTCCCAAGAACGGCAACATGCCACCAACATACGCGAACAAATGACAGTCATTTATTTTACAGTCACCTCAAAACTTTATCATCACGAATATATGGATGTTTTATTTTCGCATTACTAAGAATAAGAATTTCGTCAGAATAAAAGGAAAATTCATTGAAGCACTCCAGTCATTCATATTTTTCAGTCATACATTCAAGCGCGTCGGACTGATTGATTGTGATTTATTAACACCAATCATCATAACTCAGACGGCGGGGATTGATTAGTCATAATTCCTCTACATCAATCGTAAAAATTCAATCTCCATTCATTAAACGATTGTCATTCCTTAATAGAAGACGAATCACAATTATTATAACTATGAAAATATAAAGATTGTGATTTCTCAACAGCAATCACCAGAATTGAAGCAGCGGGTATTGAATGATTGTGACTTTAACAACAATCACCTTTATTCAGGCGGCAAGGATTGATTGCGATCCTAAGAAGAGTGACATTTTCTTAAAGCGGTGCACGAAGCTCCAAAAATAAGACGGGCCGAGATAAATGACTGGATCTGAACAGCGTACCTCATTAAAAACCATAAGCGCATTATAGGTGGCCGACCGAGTCACGGCTTCAAGACTGCTCAGATATTTAGCTTAATGCGACTGCATGCAGCTAAGACTCGGACTTACAGTCACGTGGGGACTTAGGAAGATGGGATGAGTTGGAGTGGCGGGCATAGGATGCCCTAAGCACATCCCACTCTGTCTGGGGCTCAGCGTCGTCCATAAGCAAGGCTTAGGCGCCTTAAGCAGCATTAGTGTGCTACCGGCCCTAAGTCGCTCATACATGCCCGCTGTTGGGGCTGGGTGCAACCTGGGGCCATGTGGATGGGGGGGGGGGGCTGGGGATGAGAGAGGAGTGTGAGGAGGGGAGTTAGAGGAGAATAAGAGGGAATGTGAAGAGGGAATTTAAGATGAGGAATTGGGAATAGGAGAGAAGAGAAGGAAGGAAGAGTGGGGAAGAGGAAGAAGACGAAGCGAGGGTTGAGGACGAATGTGAGGAGGGAAGGGGGGAAGTGTGAGGAAGGAGTGAGAGGGGAATAAGAGGGAGTGTGAAGTAGGAAGGTGAGGAATGGAGAACAGGACAGAAGAGAAGGAAGGAAGGGTGGGGAAGTGGAAGAAGACGAAGCGAGTGGAGGATGAAGGATTGAAGGATTATGCAGGAGAGATTACAATTAGAGGAGTAAGTAAGGGGAGCGAATTGGTGGAACGGGGATGGCAGAAAGAAATGGAAGGGGCGTGAATTGGAGGAGGATGGCGTAAGAAACTTCTTGATGACCAAGACGAAACAAAGGAATAAGAGAGACAGACGAAGGCGCGGTATAACAACAGTGGAAGAACGAATATGCGAATAAATGAGGCAATGCAGCAGTGCTTGCAATAATTAAATTTGAATAATTTTCTTCATCAGAAATTATCTTTACCCACGGCATGAGTAATAAATGTACGGAAAATAGGTAAAAAATTAATACAGTTCAAGGAATAACTCACGAAATTAAACGGCGTTGTGGGTAATGGTGCAGATTAGTGTGGATTATTGAACTCATAAACCAAGCTTATCGATTGAATTCATCTGAAAGTGAA